CCCAGGCTTCATGGGGCAGGGAGCAGATTCTGGGTGTGATGGGCCCGTCCATGTTTGGGGACAGGCTGGTGGGGCAGGCCTACAGCAGTAACCTCCAGATCCACTAGATCCGCCAGGGCAGACCCTGTACTCCCTGCATGGGCAAGAGGACTGGGGTCCAGAAGGGAGCCCAAGCCCTGTTCCCCAGTTCTCACAACAACAGGAGGTTCCCTGCCCTACCTGTTGGCCCTTTAGCCTCCCTCCAGCCCCTCTACTGCCCAGCCCCTTCCTCGGCTCTGGGTTGGAAAAGACAAACACTTACTCCAAAAGGTCTCTGTGAAAATGCACAGATTTCCTGTGGAGGGGAGGAGGGCTGGGTGAGGGCACTGGGATGTTCCTGCTGATAAATTAGCATCAAGCAGTCTGCAGCCCAGAAGTGGGCCTCGTCTTTCTATAGTGAGGTGTGGGTGGGCTGGGGAGGATCACAGAATCCTTCTGCCTGGGTACAAAGCCTGCTCCATCATCACCAACTTTGGATCTTGGACAAGGTACTTAAACTCAATGTGCCTCAGTTTCCTCATTGGTAAACAAGAAATATTGGTACCTACCTTGGAGAATTCTCAGGATCTAGGCCCCCATTTCTCCACCACAGCCAGGTAGCCCCCTCTACTCACTGGACCCAGGGACTCCACGGAGGTCATGCCTTCCTGCCTTGGGCTCTGGGCATTCCTTCCCCATCACTGCCCTCTCTCCAAGCCCCCCAACCTCTATCTCACAATTTCTTTGCTGTTCTCCCACACTTCCCCATCCCTGAGCTCAATTCTTTGAACAAAGAAACAACTGACTACCATGTTGCCTCCTAGACTGCCATGTCTCGCTATGACACCTAAGTCTCCTCCACTCCTTCTAGTCCTCTCTGCACTCACCCACTCTGCAGAGAGCCCCTCCTCTTTGAATCGCCCGAGTCCTCAGCTTCCATGAAGCTACTCCATCCGGGTTCTCCCTGTGCCCTTGGCTGCTTCTTCCCCTTCTTGATGGTTTTTATTTCCTCCTATAGTTGACTGCATCCCCTTTCTCAACTTCAACTCCCCCCATGCACTGAAGGTTCCATATCTCCGGCCAAACTCTCTCCCCAGAACCATCTGACTATCTAGGAATCATCTTTTGATGTTCAATGATTTAGACTTAAAGGGCATTAGGAAGACTAAATACAGTAAGGCACGCCGAGCTCCCAGCATGCTGCCTGGTCCAATAGATATCTGGCAAATGGTAGCCATTATTATTTGCAATATGACCCTCAGTACCATTTTAATAGGCAGAAAAGAGCAGACAAAACTCTCCCCCAGGAACTGAAGGAAGGATTGAAGTCCTTGCCTTCATCTCTGGGGTTAGTGAGTTGGAAACTCCACACCAATCACTGCAGGTCAGCCATTCTAGGAACTAGTTCCTAAATTCTATCTCTGAGTCCCCTGATTAATTAATTGGTGTTCCAGTGATTACTTCTGTTGACAACCTTGGTGGCTTTTGGCAAGGTTGGGTCAGCCCAAGCAAGTCCAGACTTATTGTGGCAAATTCCACTGGCTTCTGGGACTTGAGACATGATCCCTGTATGGCAGAAAAGCACCTTGTTAGGGAGAATTGGGAGAGTGAATGGGGAAACAAGGCCCTCTTAGCAAGTTGGCTGAAGGCTTTGGTGCCATGGGTCCCAAACAGGGCTCCAAACACCCCATAATGCCCAGGCTACTCTGCATCTTGTTGGGATCCGCGTAGTCGAGGAGGGAGCTCTGAAAATCCTGCCTCTACCCTCCCTTCCCAGAGGACAAGACTTAACATGCAATGACTATCCTCTTCCCAATCTAGAGAAAGAGGCTTGGATTGCAATAAGAGGGACTCTGGTTAAATATTCAGAAGAACTAACTCCCATGTCTATTTGAAGTAGGCATGTGGGGAGAGGGGAGCCTGGGCTTTGACCTGCAGCATCTGTGAAACCAGGGTGGCTCACTTTTCCATCACTGCTTTGCAGCCAGGGCTGGAGGCCTGAGTGGGTGAATGGTAGCCATCTCCCCATTATATGCCCCAGAGGAACACCTGCCAAAGACCTACAGCACTTCTAGACCCTTCCACACCACAGTGCAGCCCCCAGCTTCCTCTTCTCTTGGCTGTCCCAAGGTAGGTAAGGTGGTTGTCTAGGGAAAGAAACTCAGCCACAGGAAACGATCAGATATAGCACCTCCTAGGGGCCTGGACTTGGAGTGTGGACCTCTGGTGTTTCCTCTCCTATCGGCACCTGGCTTCTGCAACCTTGGGCTGGTCCCATGGCTTTTCTGGGCCACCATTTGCCCAGCACAGCCAGAAGCAAGGTAAACTTGATGGCCTTGAAAATCCTTCTAGCTAGGAGGGTCTCTGATTCCGCATCATGTGTTGTCTTTGCCCTGGGTCCCTTCTCTGTGCAGGCAGGTGGAGTTATGACAGCTGCAAGAAGCGCAGAGGTACCTACAAGCACATGGGTGACTCTGGCCCTGGTCTAGGACCCTGGGCTCAGGCTGATTGCACAGACAGATGCAATGGCTTCGGAGAGTGCTGGGCTGGGACAGGGATGTCAGAGATCACTGAGAAATACCCGCCCTTCCCTCTTCAGGGCTCCTAGGTAACCCAGAGCCCATGGCTCCATTTGGAGTCCCAGGCTGCAGCTTTCCCAGGGTGGGAGGTGGGGGAAGGAGCATCCCAGCACCCATGACAAGGCTGGGCCCTGTGGGCACGAGATGAGGTCCTGCTGGCTTTAGTCCTGGTGTGCCTTGAATGGTGGCTCCCGAGACAGGAGCCCCACTCCTCCCACAGAGTCTCCTCCTCAAACTCTGGGGCTCTGGAAGGAAGCCATCCCATTTCTCGCCTTCCAGGGACGGTGAGGCCTAAGGCGGGTCACCCCTCCTCCTGCTCTAAGAGCCTGGGTCTCCAGCCCTCGCAGCCCCAACACCCCCGGCCTCTTGTTTTCACTTCCCTGACTTGTCTCCAGGAACCCTCACCTCTCCCCCACCTTTCTTGGGGCCTTGCCTGAAGCAGGTCCGTGGTGAAATCACAGTTTCGGAAGCGCCACAGCCCCCGCCTTCTTGTGAGCTCAGTGCAGACACCTTGGCCCTCTTGGGTCCTCCCCCTCAGCTTAGCTTCCACCTTCACTCCAACCCAGTGTGGATCCCGTGGTCCTCTGCTCCTCCGTGCTGTCACCCATCTCTCAGCACCCCCACCCCCAACCTGACAGAACCCCAGCAGAAAGGATCTGTGGCCCTCCCTGTACTGGCCCATAGCACCTCCTGGTGAACGGGCCCCAGCCGCACCCCCAGACCACGTGCTGCTCAGCCTCCCTCACCTCTCATTCTCCCCTGGATGTCTCACCCCTTCTCTGTGTCCTCAGACCTCTGACCTCCTGCCCCTTCCCCATCCTGCTCTTTCCTCTCTGCTCAGTCACAAGAACACAGGAGCCACTGGAACAACTTCTTCAATTTCCCCACCCCGAACCCTGCCCCCAGCAGCATCTTCCTCCCACCCCACTCCTCTTCCACTTACTGAAGTGGGGAGGGGTCTCCCCATGCCAAGGCTGATCCCCTCGTCTGTGCTCTGGTCCTCCCTCCTCTTCATGGACTTTCCCAACATCGTCCTCTCAGTGTCCTCAACATCTCTCCTGGTGCCTTCCCTACTGCATTGACCAAGCCCCTGTCTCTCCCATTTTTAAACAAGGACAGATACGTAAATAAAAGCCCCTCCTGATCCCACATCTTGTTGTGGCTTTCTCATTTTTTCCCCTCACCTGTCACCTGGGTCCCTTCTTTGGGGACAGGGTTTGACTACGTTGCCTGAGACACCAATGGATACTCTGTAATCTCACCGAGTGTGACCTCTTGGGAGGGCCTGACCCTGCGGATGCCCACCCACCCTGATCACACATGGCCTGGCTCTGCCCTGACCACCCTGGCTGCTTGTCCTTGGACCCCGCCAGAGCAGAGGCCTCACCCACCACCCTCGATTCTAGCACTGTTGTCATGCTGGGAGCCTCTACTTCTATCCCTCCAACCCAGGCGTCTCTCCTCGTTCCAGACCCACAGCCAACATCCCACAGGCTCCTCAACCCTGCCTGTCCATCCAACTGACCCGCTGCCCTCCCTTGAACCTGCCCCTGCCTGGCTCCATCTCGTTAAGCACTTACATCTGCCTGGTCATTCAAAACCAGAAAGTCAGCATACATCCTCCGGCTCCCGTTCCCTCCCACCACATACAGCTCTTCATCGAATCCCGAAGAAGCCGCCTCCTGACTCCCTCTTTAGGGACCCACTTCTCTCCATGCCCGTTGCCAACAGCCTGGTCCAAGCCACCATCACCGCTCACTGGATCCCCGCCATAGTCTCCTGATGGTTCCTTCTCCAGAGCTCCAACCCAGTCCCACGCAGCAGCACAGGGGCCACTCAGAATCAGGAATCTGTGTTCTGCCTTGCACAGCCCTTAGGAGAATATTCACCCTCTCTGTTCTGGCTTCCAAGTTCCCAACACCACTCAGCCCCAGCCCCTCATTCCCGGGCCACGTCACCTTGCTGCACTCCCTGGTGGTGCTGCAGACTTTGGTCAGCTCTTGGACATGGCATGTGCTGCCTTACCTCAGAAACTTCACACTAGGTGTCAGCAGACCTCACATCTCCCCCCGCCACCCCTTTTCATCTGGCCAACTCTAGCCACACTCCCAGTCCCAGTGAAATGTCACTTCCCTCTAGGCTCAGTTTGGTCTGCTGTCTCCTTCCACACCCAGTGGAGCTTCTCCCACCCTAACGCTCCTGGCTTATCATCTCCTGGCCTCTGTTTAATCACCCTGTTGACTGTGTGACCCCCACTCTGAGGGCCAGAGCCTGAGCCAGCCTCATTTACGGTTCCAGCCCCAGCGCCTAGCACAGTGCTAAGGAGTCGGCACGGTATGAGTATTTGTTCAGAAATCACCAAACAGCACCCCCTGCCCTGCCCTTGAGCCCCTCCCCACTGACCTCTGACATCTGTGGGAAGAGGCTGATGGCCAGCGGCAGGGCCAGGCCGAAGGCTGCCAGGCACACGAGGCTTTGCACAGGGAGGAGCAGCCGGGGGCGCGCCTGCAGGAGAGACGTCCTGTGGGGGAGAGAGGAGGGAGCCCTATGAGACCCGAAGGTGGGGTGGGCTGGCTGCCAGCCACCATGCTGGGTCCCACTGTGTCTCTGGGCCCAGGAAGCATGGTTCTGGGGCAGTGCCAGTGTGCAGCTAAACAGATATAGCGGAGTTCTGTCTTTGGGGCCTTTCCCGATGGGTACCCCTATCCCAAGGCCCTGCCTTGAAGGACATTGCTGGCTGAAACCTCAACTACTCAGGTCACGAATGAGCACTTTCGGGGCACCCACCCACCATGCATCCAGCCCCGTGCCAAGAAGGCCCTATGTGGGAGAGCCTGCTAGAAGAGGCTGTCGGCCCCTGTTCCTGGGGAGACACATAGGAAGGTAAGATTGCTCTCGAGGGCAGCACGTAATTAAACAGCAAAGAAACCAGAGTAGGTGCCAAGTTCAGGGGAGATGACAAAGCATATAAATATGGGCACGCGACAGCCAGGAGGGGGTGATCCTCCTCTATGTGTGAGAACAGAAGACACCGCACTGGCCACCTTCAACCCAAGGGCAACAGAGGGGGCAGTGACTCATCCAAGGCCAAGTCTGCAGGAGGCTGGCAGAGCTGCTGCCTGGACCCCTGACTCCCCAAGGGTGCTGTCACCCCAGCTGGTCCCCTTTGCCAGCTTCATCACCAACACAACACAGCTGGCACCCTCTCCCCATGGCTGGCTTCAGAGCTGGTTTCCTGGGCATGGGAGGGGGCATGATAAACCTTCCTCCAGGGCCCAGGCTCCCCAGACAGCGTGGGGATATACCAGCTGGCCAATGTGCCTGCACTGCGCTCATCGGAGCTTCCTGTTGTGCTTAATACAGTAGGCCCTTCAGCGGGGACCACAGCATTCCACCTGGGGAGGCCTGGGATGACTAGACTATTTGCCAGCGGGTGTTGGGCAGGCACTAAGTCTGACCTCAGTAAGTGTCAGCCTCCTTGTGACAGGCTCCTGGTGTGAAGTGGAAATAATCCAGGGTCTTGTCCGCTGCCCCCAGCAGGGCTGACAATGGCCACAGGCAGGTAAGGGGCCCTCCGAGGGGCAGAGCCCCAATGTGGGGGGCAGTAAACCCCATATACCCTCACCTCTTGAGACAAGAATCTCAACAGCAGCTGGCCCCGAGAAGACAGCAAAATTGGGAGTAGTTTTCAAAAGTTAAAGTGCATCAGATGGGCTGGGCAGCTGGTTAAAAATGCAAATGCCCAAGGGCTGCTTACAACCATGAAAGCCTGACTTAGTGGGCACTGGACCTGGAAATGTGCATTTTAATCAACCCTCCATGAGTCTAAAGGGGTGATCCCAGACCACACTTCTGACAAACCCTGGCCTTGGATGTTCCTGCTCAGGTATTAATAAAGATGCCACTACTTGCAAATCCTATGCTAGCAAAGGGGTCAGCCCTGGCCTGGCACGCAGTAAGTGCTCAGAAATTACATGTCATTATTGCTGTTGTTATTGCTCATGTTACCTGCAGGAAGGTAGGATCCTCGTAGCCCACCTGTCCTCCAGCCATTCCCACTGGCCCAAACCGCAAGGCTTGTCCAGCTGCTAAATTTGGCCTGAATTAAGGTATTGGAAAGGGGAGTTTCCACAGGATTGACCAGCGGACTAAGGTGCCTAAATCAAGCTCAAACCCCTCTGATCCTCCAACGCCCATCCAGCATCTCCATCCTCTCTCTCTACTCCATGCTAGTCCATGCTACTCCATGCTAGTCCATGCTACTCCATGCTAGCCTGAGTAAGGCTGAGAGGGCCCTGAGATGAACTTCTCAAGCAAGACGAGGAGCAGCGGGGGACACAAGTCTCATTCTCCAAGCTTCATACAGGGCCTGGAGCCCCCGCTTGGAGGAGGCTGTGGAAGGATGGGGCTGCCCTCCTGTTTCAATGGCAGTGACTAGAGGGTGTGGAGTCCCTGGAAGCACAGCCCCGAGGGTCCCTGCCCACAGCCCTGAGAGCAGTGAAGGGTGAGAAAAAGAGAGAAGCTCCCCCACTGGCAGGTGAACAGCAGGCCGTGGGCTCAGTCCTCGGGACCTGCTGGTGGGGACACTGGACAGACCCTCTTCCTGTGGGGCTGTGACCAAGGCTCCTCTCTCAGGGTGGCTGGCTGAAGTACTCAGTAGGAAAGAGGTCCAAGAAGCCCCAGGCCTGGGCTCCCAGCTCAGGAAGGAGGTAGGCCTGAGGCTGAAACAGGAGCCTCAGAAGCCCCAGCCCAGAGCAGGCCAGAGAGCAAACACAGCAGGCCACGGGGAGGGGAGCGGGGAGGAAAATGGCAAGGAGGGATGGGAAAGGCAGCTGGGAGAGTTAAAATATGCAGATGGAGAGATGTGCGAATGCCTGGGAGAACGGAAAGACCCGGAGCCCAGGGAGTAAAGGAAGCTGGGGGAGCGGACTCAGGGCTGTGGCCTGGACCCGGAGCCAACTCAGACTCAGCCTGGTGCCTCTGCTGGCCCTTCATTCCAGTGCCAGGGAGGCTGGGCTGGGGCTGAGCCAGCTAGAGCCCTCCTGATCCAGCAGCCCTGGGCCTAGCTTCCTCCTCAGCATGGTTGGTGCTGCAGGAAGGGTGTCAAGTGTGAACCCCTGGAGCGCTCAGGGGAGCTGGAGGGTGGCACCCAGTGTACTGCAGCCCCCAGAGGCAGCCCAGTGCTCTGGGCTGGGGATAGAAGCTCCTCTGCTTCTGACTTGAGATTCTTTACCTTTCCGTCTCAGAGTCAAGGCCAACTGAGCACGCTGAGCTCCCACCTGTCTCTTCCCAGCAGGAAGCCCAGGAACCTTGGCTCCCAGAGTATCAACTGAGGCCAGAGGCGAAGCAAGGCAGGTCCCAGCCACGGCCGCCACACAACAGCTTGTCCCCCCATTGCTGTGCATTCCTTCAGCACTTGGAGCACAGTTTTAGTTTGCACTCCATTAATTTGCACATAGGCTGCTTTGTAAGTGTTCTATTGTCTTTTTTCCTTGGCTGTCCTGACTCCCTCACCCAACAGGGGCTCCCCAAGGGTGGGGGTTGCCTTCCTCTTCAGCCTCCTCAGCGGAAGCCCTGCACTAGTGCCCCTGCACCCAAAGGCAGGGTGCGTGGCAGGGACTCTGCAAAGAGCTGAAGAGCTGCTGGATGGTGCAAAATGCAAAGCCCCAACAAACAAGGTGATGAAGGGGCAGTGTCCTCATTTTCCAGGTGGGAAACTGAGGCTGAGGGAGGCTCCACAACCACATCAGACTGGCAGAAAGAAGTGGAGCAGGAACCTAGATTTTGTTTTCCTACCAGAGCCTCAGCTCACTCTGCCACATTGCTCTGCCTCTCCTACCACACAGTCCCTGCACTTCCAGAGTACATGTGAGATTGGCAAGCCTCCAAGGTCACAAACTGGGTCTTAATTCATCTTCATCTTCTTGGGGGACCCTGGGCTGAACTTTTGTTTTCCCCAGGGACCCTCCAAGGAACTCCAGGGAAGGATCAATGAAACATGAGGCTGCCAAGAGCACCAAACTCTGACCTCTTATCACCTTATCAGAGGGGCTCCTTTGGAGGCTGAAATGTGAGAGTATGTGGCACCCCAGACACTAGGGAGGTCCCAGGCGGGGCAGGTTCAGACCCAGAATAATCACCCCACTTCCCATGGATACGGAAGCGGGGAAGGGAAGGGCGTGGTCTCTGGCTAGGGCTCCACCCCCAGGCCTGTGCCCGCGGACCTGAGGACAGGCATTTTTGTTTTCCTGCCCAAATGTTGCATTCCCAAGACCACCCTGGCCTGCCACACCCCCTGATGCTGTGCCTAAAGCTGGATGTCCAGAGGAGCACATCAGTGGAGGGACACACAAGCGGCTGGACAGCAAGACATCGAGTGGAGCACGCTGGCAGAAGGGCACACGGACAGATGCTGGCAGGCCACCAACTGGCAGAACGACGCGGAGTTTGGCTGGGGCAGTCAGAGGACAGCCTGGGCCACCAAGCAGCCCGATTCCAGGGGAAAACCAATCTCCCTTCTGGCTCCCCAGTCTGCTGAGAGCTACTTCCACTCAATGAAACCTTGCACTCAATCTCCAAGCCCATGTGTGACCCAATTCTTTCAGTACACCAAGGCAAGAAATCCCGGGATACAGAAAGCCTTCTGTCCTCGCAATACTGGCCTTCAGCCATAAACATTCACCCCTAGACACTGCGGTGGGGTCGGAGCCCCACAGCCTCCCCATCGTCTGTATGCTCCCTTAGAGGTTTGAGCAGCAGGGCCCTGAAGAAGTGAGCCACACCCCCATCACACTCCCTTTGAGGGGGACAAGGGAACTTTTCCTGTTTCACCATGACTTCCAAAGCCAAGTTTAAGCCCCCAAGTTAATGGGACACTAACCATCATTCCACTTTCTACAAACATCTCTGCCAACTGGGAAGGCATCGCAGAGCATGTTTTCCCCCAAATTCTTGCAGAAGGACAGGTCCCTGGATGAGCATGGCTGACCCAGCTTCACACCCCACCCCCGCCTTCTTGTAGTTCTCAGGATAGCTGTAGGATGTGTTGGGAATGCAACATCTTGAGATAAGGAGGGCTTGTCTGGGACAGCCTAGGCTCATGTTCCCACCTCTTCTGGAACAGGATGTCCTGCAACACTTTAGCACAGCAAGCTGATGTCCCCAGGGTGGAAACCCCAGGGTGGAGTGCTCCCAGGCTCCCTCAGTTGCAGTGTGATGTGGTACGCGGGTGGAGGAGACTCCATCCTCCCTGGACAGCTTTCTCGAGCCGTGGAGCACCAGCTTGCCTTGAGTGGTAGGCGTCCATTGTCCCCGAGGCCTATCTGTGAGTAATAAAGTTGCTTCGCTTGACTCGTGCAAGTGTTCTACCTCACTGGACTTGTGGTGCAAGTAACAGAGTAAGCGCTGCTCACTGAACCTGCTTCAGAATTCCAAGGTTCAGGACTCAGTAGTCTCAAGGACAGAAGAACCACCTTCCTCACCTGCCCCGCTGGCTCCCTGTATGTACTTGCAGTCACTGGTATTCAGGGGCAACCTCAGTTCACGAAGGGGCTATGTATACGAGAGTCAGGGGCACAAAAGACCCTGCCCTGTTTATTTTTGTCTGTTGCAAACTTACATACCACGCGGATTTTCTTAATCCCAGCGCTCACCATACCATGCCCATGCTCAGGTACCCCCAGAGCCTCAGCCCTCTTCTAGGGTGAGAGAGGGATCATCTCAGCTGGGCACACAGGACCCCTCCTCAGCTGGCCCCATGAGCACACTTCACTATGGCCAGGCTGGACACCTCAGTGTCCACACCACAGGCCTACACCCTGTCCAGAAAGCCCGCCCTTCCACAAAAATTCTATCCTGCTCTCTGGGTCGGCCACAGCCCCTCTCTGGGGACCAGTCCTCCTTGCTGCCGGGCCCACAGTGCTCCCTCTTCTCAAGGTCACCTTGGCCAAGTTCACACACTGCCTGCTCTCACCTGCAGCTGACCTGGGTAACGGGTCTTGCCCATCACCCTTATAAACACACAGGCTTCCTGAGATCAGACCCCAAATCTACTCTTCCCATTTCCACACAGGGCAGGGCTCAAACACAGGACTGTGGGTTGTGACCTGAAGATGTAAGAGGCAGCCAGTGTGGTTTGTAGAGACTAAGATTTGCAGCTGCACTCCTGAGCCACCACTGGCTCTGCTATTTCCTAGTACGTGACCGTAAGTGGATGATATAGCCTGTCTTTGCCTTCCTCTCCTCAGCTGTAGAATGAGGATATTATACTTACCTTATTGTGCTGTCCTGAAGGGAAATGAGAGGATTCATTCACTCACTCATTCATCCTTTCAACAAACACTTACTGAGCATCTACTCTGTGGCAGGAACTGTGCTAGATGCTGGGCAGGGCAGTGAACAAAAAGATGGACGTGCCTCATGGAGATGACATTCTAGTAGAGCAGACAGAAAATGCACAACTAGAGGAACAATCTCAGATATGGATAAGGGCTGTAAGAAAAATAAAGGACTCAAGGGAAAGGAAATAGTGAGAAATGGTGACTTCTGATGGGGTGGTCAGGGAAGGCCTCTTTGAGGAGGCGGCATTCGGGCAGAAACCTGACTGAGAGAGGACTGGGATATCCAAGTGCTTAATAAATGTCACTTGTTATTATAATTCATACTGTGGGAGTAAGAAAGTCCCCAAACAGGGAAGAATCCTTTGCCCCATAACCCCAGATGGAGTACCCCCTATCCCCGTCCTTACACCACACGCCCCCAGTTCCAGCTGCTGTCTTGAGGTGTCCCCATAGGGTAGGGTCTCCTCGCTGTCCACTGACAAGCCACGGGTCTGTACCTCCAGGCTCCCTCCACCTAGGGGACCCTCCCCTGCCACTTGCCTTCTCCCAGGGCCTGCGCTCTCCAGGCAGCCTTCTAGTCCGCCCCTTCAGTTTCGCACTCACTCATTCATTAATAGAATCACTCCACTACTGTTATTATGCTCCCTCATTTCTTTACAGTCATGACAGATATGAGTGCTTAGAACATCCCTCTGAGGGAGGCAGGAGGCTATTACTATTTGTATTTTACAAGCAGAGAAACTGAGGCTCAGTAAGGTGGTGATTTGCCCCACAGCAGATGCCTACCCGAATCTAGTCTTCCTACCTGAATCCTCAGACTCTGCCTTCACAAATAGTCCTGCACTATTCACTGAGAGCATGTGAGCATATGTGCACACACACACCCCCCCCAGAACTGCCAGCTCCTCAGGGGAGGGCCAGCGCTGTCATCCTGGTATCCCTTGCGGCACCTAGCCCAGGGTCCTGCATAGTGAAAGTCCAAGAATTCTCACAGAGTGATTCCGTGGCACTACCTGGAGAGTCCAAGACAGAGCAAGACACCTTCCACCCTCTACACAAACTTAGGCAGGCTTCCTGCCGCCCCCTCATCCCTTGCCTGGGCCAGCCGGTTCCCCTTCCTTCTCCTCCTCCTCCCCCACAGTGGCTTCTCCATGCTGGCTGCCCCAACTCACTTCTCCAGCATGGACATGACGATCGGGGGTAGCACCAGGATGGGCATGGGCAGGACCACTCGCGTCAGCGCCGTCTCCAGCAGGGCCTGAGGGGCAGGCAGAGGCTGTGGTGAGAGAGGCCTGATGGCCGGGGACGGGACAGCACACCCACCCTAGGTGTGTGCCACCACAACACACGTGTGTCTGAATGGCATTATTCATGGGATTGCTCAGGAAGCTGCATTCCACACAACAAAAAACACTGGTCTCCTTTTTTCTTTCTTTCTTTTTTTTAGACAGAGTCTTGCTCTGTCTCCCAGGCTGGAGTGCAGTGGTGTGAACTCAGCTCACTTCAACCTCCGCTTCCAAGTTCAAGTGATTCTCCTGTCTCAGCCTCCTGAGTAGCTGGGATTACAGGTGCACACTACCAAGCCTGGCTAATATTTGTATTTTTAGTAGGGAAGGGATGGGTTTTCGCCTTGTTGGCCAGGCTGGTCTCAAACTCCTGACCTCAGGTGATCTCCCTGCCTCAGCATCCCAAAGTACTGAGATTACAGGTGTGAGCCACCATGCCCAGCTTCCACTGTTCTTCTTACCACACACATTTGAGAAGAGCAGATTCCCACCACCTGCCACATGTGGGGAACACCCAGGCAGCCCCAGGAAAGGGCAGTGGTCAGGGAGGTGGTCGAGTACCTTGGGGATGGTGGGCACAGCCTCACATACTGTGTGCATAGGGGCTGGGGAGCAGCTCTAGAAGCAAGGTTGGCACACACAGCTGGGGCCTGTTGAGCCAGTAGGGCTCATGGAGCCAAAGGAGGATTGAGCTTCTGGAATTTACCATTTTTGTTGTTGGTGTTTTTTGTTTGTTTGTTTTTGAGACAGGGTCTTCCTCTGTTGCCCAGGCTGGAGTGCAGTGGCGTGATCTCAGCTCACTGCAACCTCCGCCTCCTGGATTCAAGCAATTCTCCAGCCTTAGCCTCCTGAGTAGCTGGGATTACAGGCGCACTCCACCACACCCAGCTAATTTTTGCATTTTTTAGTCGAGATGCAGTTTCGCCATGTTGGCCAGGCTAGTCTCAAACTCCTGACCTCAGGTCATCCGCCCACCTTAGCCTCCAAAATGCTGGGATTACAGGTGTGAGACACCGCACCCAGCCTCCTTTTTGTTTTCTGGGTTTTTTTAAAATCTCTTAAAGACAAAGATTTGCAAGATCTTGTGTCTCTTGGCTCTGGATGAGTGTTTCTCAGTGACAAGAGGTTGGCTCTTATAAGGGAGGTATGCTTCAGTAGGGCATCTGCAGGGTTTCCCTGAGGATCTGCCTGGGGCCTTGCTCCAGGGGCTCCCAAGGGATTCCTGGGGTAGGGGTGTCCCTGGCCACAGCACAGCTCAGTGGCAATTCTGAGCTCCGACAGCCACTGTGGTGAGTTCCTTTAACCCCACAAGCTCCGGTCCTCAGAAGGGGCTCCAGGAGCGGCTCACAGCCCACAGATGCCTGGAGTCCTTCCCCAGACAGCAAAGAACTAAGCAAGCCAGGCTGAAGGGAGCTCAGGCCGCTTGGGTTTCCTTGCTGTGTAACACTGAGAGGAGTTATCATGGCTGTCCTCCCTCAGGGGGGTTGGGGAAAAAGAAAAAGGCTGGGATAGGAAGTTGGGGAGAGGTGGGAAACTGAGGCTAAATCCACTCTCATGATGGGCTCAGGGCTGAACATTTCTCCCATGGAACCTGGGCTCTTCATGGTCAGCCTCGGGAAGGCCTGGGAGAGGCCCCTCCAGTCTCCGGAACAGGTATGGGAATGACACGAGGGTCCAGTGCCAGTGCAGGGAGCGGAGGATGCAATGTAGGCATGACACCCCCAACCCCTTGCCCTAAAAACCTTGGAGGGGCACTGACTTGGAGAGAGCTCTTCCTAGACCAAAGTCTGATTGAGAATACCACATGACTGGGGTAAGGCTTGGGGCCCTCATGGGAGCTGATGAGGACAGTGGCTGGAACAGGGATGCATGCTCGACTACCTCATGGCTCCCCCCCAGCACCCACCCTGTCCCATGCCCAGCACAGAAGCCAGAGCCCAGGGGGCAGCAAGAAGAGCCACTAACCACCATCAGGACAAAGGCTGGGAAAGCAGAGGGAGATGTGAACATGGACTGCGTTTTCTTTTTTTTTGTTTTCTTTGAGATGGAGTTTCACTCTTTCACCCAGGCTGGAATGCAGTGGCGCGATCTCGGCTGCAACTTCTACCCTCCGGGTTCAAGCAATTCTCCTGCCTGTGCCTCCTGAGTAGCTGGGATTATAGGTGCCCGCCACCATGCCCGGCTAATTTTTGCATTTTTAGCAGAGACAGGGTTTTGCCATGTTGGCCAGGGTGGTCTTGAACTCCTGACCTCAGGCGATCCACCCACTTTGGCCTCCCAAAGTGCTAGAATTACAGACGTGAGTTACCGTGACCAGCCCGTGTTTTCATTTTTTAAACTGCAATTGCTAGAGTGGCTGAACCTATGAAACCAGGGGTGAAAGAAGGTCTTGTAACAAAATATCCTCCAAACCTCTGCAAGCCTCAAATCCCTCGACCTCACGCACAGCACTCACTCCCAGGTGAGCTCTCACCTGCAGAAGTGCCTACTAACCCAGAACCACAAACCACTGGCCTCCCAAGCTTTCCTTGGCTTACTCAAGAGGATGTGAAGGCCTGGGAGGCAGGGCCCTGGCAGAGGGAGGGGGAAGAGAGCTCTGAGGGAGTCTCCTCTGCCCTCACCAATTAACACCTCCTCTGGGTGAGACAAGCTAGAAGCTGGGTCCTGAGGGGCTGCAATAAGAGACAGGGACTTTTCAGGGCAGCGAGGGCATGTCCAGGGGAACAGGCAGGAGGCCAGAGGCCCAGACTCATGCAGATTGGAGGTGGCGGCAGGGTGAGAAGGAGACATCAAGAGGCCAAAACAAGGGTACTCCGGATAGAAGCCTGTGGAAGACACACACTAAGGGAAAACCACTCCCCTCCCTGTTGCTGGCCTCCCCAACCCTGCAAGCCCCCAGACCCACGTGTCTGGCTGCGATCTTGGAGGAGCCCACGAGGTTGCCATCGCTGTCCAGGACATCAATCCCTTCCTCCAGCTCCCCATACCGCATCAGGACCACGTTGCAGATATTGGCACTGGCTGCAGAGAGAGGGGATGCAGAGAGCAGGATGAGGAGGAAGATGGCATTCCACCTGGAGGGAGGTCACTGCGCTCCTCCCTACCCAAGCCATGGGGCTCTGTGTTCAAATGCATGGGCAAAGCTTGGGGAAGGGGTGGTTCTGTTGTCCACCTGCCTATCAGCCTGGTGAGGGATCTGGGGGACCTTGGGAACCTGCTAAGCAAAAGTAGAAAAGAACAGGTATTAGGGAGGACACCTGTTCTGCCTCAGAAAGCGGCCACTTACCGAGGGATTGCTATCCTCCCCTCCAGGGCAGGCCGTCTAGGCAGGCAAAGTGGGTGTCCATCTGGGAGGGCTCTCTGGCCTGAAGTCGCATCCCCCCTGACCCCGAGAGGCCTGATGTTCCACCATCACTGGGGCCCTTGGGCTGCCCCATCCTCTTGAACTACCCGTCTCACATCCAGCCCCTCCGGTCTCTGAGTGAATCAAGTTCTCAGAAATTTGCCTCCCTGACAGCAGGTGCCAGAGAGGCAGAAACCTCAGTGTTCACCCAGCACCACCCCCTCATCATATGGATGGAACACTGAAGCTCAGAGAAGAGTGACTTATCTGAGGTCACACAGCAGAGTGGGACAGAGCAGAAAGGCTACAGCGCCTCTGCCTCTGAATACCCAGCGGGGCAGGAGGGTTGGCGGGGAGCGGCGGGCTGAGTTAAAGGCAGACCTTCTCCATTCTTGCTTCCTATGGTTGAGTTCCTGCCTTTGGCTAGGCCCCTCCACCATCTGAGATCTTGGGGACCTGGGCTGAGGGGAGGGTTCCCGGCTCCTTCGTGAAGCACTGGTTGGTGAAGTCTGGGGCCACCAGACTAGCTCAGGGATCCTCTTTCTGCTCCCCTAGTCTGGGACTCACACGACTGGGCCAGGCCCCGTGGCCCGGTGCAGTGTGGGTGTTGACCCCGCCTGAACTCTCCCAGCCCTGCTTCAGGATGGAAGTGGGGGGACCTCGGAGGGGTGGGCAGGTGGGGAGTGGGGGGTGACAAATGCAGAGTCTGCCTGCTTCACTCCTCCCCCCAAAGCGCCTTGCTGTGTTTAAAGTTTTAATTTTTGCTAATTAATGTCAATTAATTTTGTATAATGAGTGTTTAATTTTGGGGAGTGTGTGAGCCTGGGAGCGACTGCAGTTCTGGGCTGTGAACGCTGATTAGCATCAACACCTGCTGCTTCCCCCTCCCTCCAGTGGGGGGGGCACCAGGGTTTGGGGAGCTGGAGGGTGGCAGGGCCTAGTGGGCAGGCGGAGTGGGAGGGAGACCACAGATGCTCCTGGGGCCTGAGCCAACAAGCGGTCCAGGGTGCTCACAGCTGGGGCACAGGGTTCTGTGGGTGACGTGTGGCTTGAGACCCTGGGGGCCTCAGTCGCCTGTTTCGTTAAAATGGGGAGGTGGAATAAACAGGGGAAGACCGAGAGGCTCTGCAGTCTTTGGAGAAGAAAAGCAGGAGGCCAAATACAGTTCTAAAATGTATTTAGAGCACACACGCCATCTTCGAGTATCTCTTCTGCTACCACCGACGCTCAGCGCAGTGGGAACCATGGGCAGTCCCTCTGCGTCCCGGGCTCTCCTGCCCCACAACAGGCATGCTCACCTGCCCTAAAGAGCCGCTGTCTGCCAGGGGCAGTTTTGTGGGGCATTTGGCCATGTCTGGGGGCATTTTCAGTGACTGAGATCTAGGGGTCGGGGGTTGCTGCAGGAATCTGAGTGGAGAGAGGCCAGGGGTGCTGCTAAACATCCCGCAAGGCACAGGACAGTCCCCTCACCAAAGGATCATCTGGCCCCCAAATATGTCAACATTGCTGACATTCAGGAACCCTCGTTTTCACCATAGGCAGCGACAGACAGAATTAGGAAGCTGAATCCAAGGTAAAGGAGATCTGGTTAGCAGGGCATGACCAGGAGGGGTTGGGAGCCTGGGTTTG